ATTTGCGAAAGCCGAGTACAAATCAGCATGAAGTTTTAACATCTACTCTCGTGTAATGGAAATCCTGACTAGATTCACAAGAGGTCGGCTAATGTGTGTAAAAGTAAAAAAAATACAGTGATTTCATTAATTTACCAGCGAGCGTACTTCGGAAACACTGAAAATGAATGGGGTTCAATGCTGGAACTATCAGTGTTTGGAACTATTGGCCGCTCCACGACACGCATTACTTCCGCATTCCAAAGTTCCTATGGCGGTCTATGGGAGTGTCGCAACTATGTTTTTCAACGGCTCTGGTATAAGTTATATTGCGAGTGAGGATGTTGGAGGTGGAGATTTATAGAATTTTATCACTGCACTTGATATAATTAAACTTATCAATTTGATGGCGGATCCAGAAAGGTTCAAACGGCAATCACCAGTCAGTGACAACTGGATTCACCCGTTGTAAAATGCAAAAGACTTCGTTCGGACTTCGGAGGGGCTAACTTTTACAGAAAAAGAGACTGCAACCGGACCCATGTGAAAACAAGGATACATATCGGAAGGACATTGCATGTAGTCACGCAATGCTTACGTTGTTAACATTAACAATTTGAGAACAAAGTATAATTTGCACGGTTTTGCGTGATATGATAACTTAAGCTAACCTGACTCCGCCAGATGGATTTGCTCCGCATATCCATCTGGAAACCTTCCGTTGAAGTAGTTTTGGTAAGGGGCGAAAATACTGGTTAGCTGATTGGCCTATGTTGGTGATAGACGGGCCAAATCAACCAATCAGATCAACGAAGCATATGACGTACTAACAGAGCGTATCTTTTCCTCTGAGAAAAGCCTCCAGAGCAGTGTTTTGCTCTTCTTTCAGTGAAGAAATACTCTGTAATTCCGATAAAACTTGCTCGATAGCCACGCTGATGCTAGTTTCATCCGCTGAAGCCGACATGTTCTTTAGACTGAACTGACGCGCTTCTCGTTGCGTCACACCTCAACACGCCTCAAAGCCAACGCTGATTGGACGTTCGTTTGGTGAACTGCTCCCAAATTTTCTTTAACGGAAAGTATCCAGACTGATCTGCGAGTGAAACCTTGAAAGCTCGCGAGATCAGGATGGTCTCACGAGGCTAAACTTAAGCATTTGTTAGATTTAATCAGCGCAATTTACTGCAATGTCAGAACAAGAACAAATGTGGATGTTTCTTACTAGTTCAGAGGACATTTTCCGGTGAAAATTCTTATGTTGGTCATACTTCCAAAAAGAATAATCTGTGATTCTGAATGACAGTATCCACACCGGAAGTGACTGACAGCCTCACACTCTCCTCAAACATTGTGTTCATCCGCGCTGTGCCGTGCCGAGGGTGTTGAAGTACAACCAGAGAATGTCTAATATGTTATGATGATAGCAGAAGAACCCAAGCGCAGACGGTAGACAATTACACAACATTTATTATAACAGAAAAACAGGGGAAAACAAAACCCACGAGGGGGCAAAATAGAGACAATACGAACGAGGGATTACTAAACTAGAAAACACTTGACAAAACTAGACTAACAGACAGCAAATACGAGATCAAGAACAATACAAGACTTTCTACTTAGACAAGGTACTCACGGGTAGAATCTCACAATGTACAACAATGAACCGGCATAGTACAAGCAAACACAAGGGGATTAAATAGGGAGAAACTAACAATCAACAGGTGATACAGATAAGGTGATAGGGACAGAACGAGGATAACAAGGGGGTCGGGGCAAGGGAACGAGACAACACGCACATGGCCAAAACACAAGACCATGTGCTTGCACACAAAACATGATTCTGTCATGATCCTGCCTCAAGACTAGAGAAAATCAAGGACACGAGGGCAGAATCATGACATAAAGTTGATAATTCCGCGAATGACTGCAGATTTCGAACAGAGATGGCGACAAAGAGAAAGACTGCAGCTTTAAAAGTGCCGTTTCTTGTCTCTCCTTGTATCGTTCAAGTGGTTGAGGTTGATATGGGATTTAGTAATAAGTAGACCAATACATTCTAGAGATAGCAATTATTACATTAATCTAATTACACTGTTGAAGATGTAATTTGTAGTTAGTAATTAATAACTATTTTAGAGTAACTACCCAACTGTTATAATATCAGAGGTGGAAGAACACTATGTTATTCAACCTCATTTTAATTTTCATGTAGGTGCAATCCTGCAGGCATTAAAACAAAGAATGTGGCAGCAGCTGAAAATGAAATATAAAACATAATTCAATCAGGTAAGGCTTGAGCATATCATGGGTGTAGGCTACCTGACTTTACAAACATTTGACATATTAAATAACTAAATAGCATCCAGTGTCTAGCAGTGCAGCAGCATGTTTGACATAGGTCTAATTAACACAATTAAATGTTCATTCTCATTTGACTTCTACTCAGCCAACAGAAAGAAGGAAGAGGCTCACAAAACACGGGGAGGACCTGCACCACCACCTCTGACAAATGCAGAGGAGATGGATATGGAGATGCAGAGAAGATATAGAGATGGAGATGCAGAGAAGATGGAGATGAAGATGGTGATGGAGATGCAGAGGAGATGGAGATGCAGAGAAGATGGAGATGAAGATGGAGATGCAGAGGAGATGGAGATGGAGATGAAGATGGAGATGCAGAGGAGATGGAGATGGAGAGGAGATGGAGATGCAGAAAGATGGAGATGCAGAGGAGATGGAGATGCAAAGGAGATGAAGATGGAGATGGCCCTGAGCCTGAATGCTGGAAGGCCAATGGCTGAGGGAATTCCTGGAGGGACCAGAGATTCAAGTGCCTTCATAAAATGTAAGAGGTCTACATATGTGTTATTTTTTATATAGGCTTTTGATATTTCCATATATTTTACTTTGGGTTGGGTTTTTTGTTGCTCCCAACAGATTCTGATGGTAATATCTGTCTTTTGGAGCCTCCTGTCCCAACAGAACCCCAGGCAGTTGTAAGTAGCCTACTCAATACACTAAATATTATGACAAATAGTATTATAAAATGTGCTCAATCAAATGCTCATCTTCCCAGGACGATGGGGATGAAGAAATATTTTCTGCTGCCACAGAGAGGCCTACAGAGGTAATGTTAATATTAGGTCTACACATCAAACAATCTACACATTCACATTTTTTCACATTATTTATGTAGAGTAGCCTATAGAATCTAAGTTTATATCTAAGTATAAACGGACATTCTTATCTCTCCCCCCGTCCCCAGAGTGTGGAAGAACAGCAGGAGGAAGGTCCATCAACTTCTGGTGCACAGATAAACACAGTTCAGTGATTTTCAGTGAATGCCACAGTTTAATTCTGTAGAATTTGTTTAGAACTACATGTGCAACTCTAATCGACTGTATTTTCAATTGCCAGTTAAGGAGTTATATAGACTTCATCTTAAAAAATAGAAAAAAACAGCAGTAAAAACAGCAATGCATAAATGTACAGAAAGAATGAATGAGGTGTTTAAACACCGCTTCCTATTTAAAAAAGGGGAGGTGACCGAAATAAACTCTGGGTTTACCGAAGAAAATCTGCTCCCGACCAGGTTAGGTTCACAGAGTAAGTTACCATGGTAGCTGACTCTGAGTATAAGTTACCTCTCTTTCAGAAACGGGCTTGACTTACCCTGCTTTCTCAGGTTTGACATCCCTCCCATTCTGAAACGGAAAACCCAGAGTTTCCCTCATTTCAGGGTTAACATACTCAAGAGTTTTCACTTAACCTTCTTTCTGAATCGGGCCCCTGATCCCGTCCCCCTCTTTCTCTCTCTCAAACTTTTTTTGTAATACTGTTTTTATTGCATTTTCTTGAACACTTACACAACAATGTACATCACATGTCTGTAACATCACATAGCCTATAATTTACACAAACAAAAAACACAAAAAAAAAAAAAAAACACCGGGGCTCATATTACATGAAAAGTGTAATAAACCAACATTGGATAACTCTCTCAAACTTAGCTTCCTGTCTACAGAGGCCTATTGTCCAATAATTATCAAAGGCAAAACCGCCAAATATGTATTCTTTAAACTGATACCAGTTAGGCTCCATCCACACAAAATAGAATCAGCATTTCTTAAGCATCTACATCAACACATCTCATCATGGGGGTGGGGGAATGGATTCCGACAGCTGGATTGTTTGCCGCTGGATTGTTTGCCGTCGGATTCGATTCCCCCCCAATAGTTTCTTACACAATGAGGTTCTAATATTTATCAAACTGATGCTGAATAATTGCTGCCTTTGGCCTTGGGGTAAGTGCACATAATTTTAGTGCATTTTGGCTTTGGCCGACCCGAGTTCAAGTCCAGGCTGGCAGTTTTTTCCTGATCCCGTCCCCCTCTTTCTCTCTCTCAAACTTAGCTTCCTGTCTACATATTGTCCAATAATTATAAAAACCAAAAACGGCAAAAAATTATTCTTTAAACTGATGCTGGTTAAGCTTCATCCACACAAAGCATAGAATATGCATCTTTTAAATCACTAGCTACATCAACATCTCTAATCATGGGGGTGGGGGAACGGATTACGACAGCTGGATTGTTTGCCGTCGGATTTTGTTCCCCCCGTGTTTCTTACACAATGCGGTTCTAATATGTATCAAACTGACACAGATAAAGTGCTGTTGATAGCCTAGTGGTCAATACAATGACATTTAGTGATTTTGATTTTGTGGTGAACAAAGTTCAAGTCAAGGCTTGTGGACTTTTCTGGATCCCAACCTGTCCTATCATATTAAAACGCAAAGACAGCAAAAAATTATTCTTCTTTAAATTGGCACTGGTTAAACTACATCCACACAAAGAATAGAATAAGCATCTTTTAATCCACTACTTCAACATCTCTCATCATGGGGGAACAGATTTCGACAGCTGGATTGTTTGCCGTCGGATTCTGTTCCCCCCACGTTTCTTACACAATGAGGTTCTAATATTTATCAAACTGAAAGTAATTGTTAGTCAGATGTGTAGAATTAATTGTTGTTTATTTTAATCTTGAACAGTCCTGAAAGAAACTTTCAAGCTTAAAGCACAAAATAAAAAAAACGAGCTTAAGTTTATCAATAGAAGCACTTTTTAAAATAATGTTTACCGTATATAGATTTTAGCATCTTGAATTAGTCCTAACATATCATTCTATTATTATTCTATAAACCTGTCTACAAAAGCAACAATGTCAAATATATACAATAACAAAATCATCATGAAATGTGCAGCTTAAGTGATATATGAACTTTGCATTTCCCACCATTTTCTTAAATGGATATTATGTATGATTATGAAGGATCTAAAATGGACAAACAGAAATCTTGAATCATCTGATTTAAGATGAATCCTTGTGCTGATCAAGAGGTATAAACCCCTATATATGCACTTTATATGGCCTAAATGGTATCAATATCATCAAAATAGTCGTCTGCAAAGCGAAGCATCTGCTGTATAGCATTGAGAAGCAGGATGTCACATTTCAGCTCCAGCTCCAGCTCCTGACTGTAGTTCTTCACCGGTAACACACAAGACACCGGCACACCCAACCGAGAGCTCACCTCCTGCACCTGCAGAGACAAAACAACATGGCAGTCACTCTGAGTCCTGTGGGAACAGCTCATGTGATCATGTGACCATGTCTCACCTTCATCTTGATGTAGGAACTGGCATAAATATTTTCAAGGTCATTCTGCACATGAGGACATGTTTCATCTACTTTCGTCATCAAGACCATCTGAGGAATCGCTGAAATTGTTTGAATAAACTTTCAGCCGGTCATGGAACATTTTGAGTCGAGTTATGCAAAATGGTCTAAAAATGTTGTTATTTCACTTACCCACTGAGTTCAATAGACTACGTACAGAACTGAGTTTTTCCTCTAGTTGGTCAGACATTATGGAGATTTTGGTGCCGTCGATCACATACACCACACAGTGGATCTTCTCCTGTAGAGATGCAGGTCTGGAGGCCTTTTGCTCATCCGGTTGAAATGGTGATTTGGGGTTGAACTGAATCAAGATAATTTAACAGGAAGCATATTGAAGAACACCTTTAATCTGAATTTTCAATTCCTTCTTCAACTTCATTCTGGAGATAAGTGAACCATCTTTATGGACTTACTTTATAGCGGTCTGGTATGAGACCTTGAAGAATGCTGCTGATGTCATCAATATCCAGTCCTGCACCTGATGGTAGCATGTACATATGATGTACTTATTATAGTAATTACAGTAACTGTGTAATAACTAGGCACTAACCCTGAACCTAACCTTAACCCTTGTAGTTACCTTATAAAAACCCAGTATTTATATTAGGCAAGCACAATGTAGTAAGTACACGTACTGTAAAATAAAGTGCAACCCACCTGATTGCTCCTCGAGTCCCATGGTGTCACACAACACAAATGGCAATGGCTTTCTCTCACGACCGTCTTTCACTGGGTATGTGCGAAACTACCAACCAAGAAGAGAAACACATCAAGACCTGAAGCCATCAAGAGCTGTTCCTCGACCTGAAGAGACACTTCTGTAGGAAACACTATGAATCCTGTTGAATCTGTACCTGTGTGGTCAGACTAGTGCCTGCAGATCCTGACATGGCTTTGCTGGTCACGTGGCCCATGAAGACGGAGTTGATGGAGTTGAAGAAACTGGATTTTCCAGCACCTACAGGACCTATCATTAGGATTCTGACCCGACTCACAGACGTCATCAGGGGTTTATGATTCCTGATCAAAACCATGAGTTCTTCTCTTCGTCTACAACATAGATCACAACGTTATTATTGAAAATTGCTGTAGGAAATCAGCAACAATGAAATAACTCTGAAAACATGGAAGGGAAACATACTCAGGTGTCCAAAGAATATTCCTCCATGGCTTCTCTTTGAAACTGACCTGAAGGGCTGGACAATTTTGAACAAAGATTATTATAGAATTTTTGTTGGATTAATATTAACAACAGAAGTTAAATAAGTGAAATTTAAGAGACTGGACTCAATATGATACTTTTTTCTGATGATTGACTTACTCTGGTTGACTTTGTACACCTCACATTCAGTCAGTTCAGTGTCATTCCCACATAACTTTAAAGTATTGAATGGTTGATACCAACTCTGATTCACTTTCTCATATACAACTGGTTGATTTTTGTGGCAAAAGTACAACTGTTGGCCAAAGTTGGGTCCTTCAGCGTCATCAAGACGTGCATTATAACTGTTAACTTTAATGCGAACAGGGGTTCCACCTCGAATGCTGAACAGGAAAGCTTCCTCATCTGTAATTTGCTGTCCACTTTGAGTATAATCTACACTAGTGTATCCACCAAAGATGTAGCCTGATCTGTTATAGGCTACAAGTAATGTGGGACCCTGATGGTCACATCGCTGATGGAAGGCAGAAGCATTATATCCATGAACAGAAGCTTTGTAGAGAAGAGTCAGTTCAACGTTCCCCAGCAGGTCACAGAGCTGCTTTCTTTGCTCTTTTGTTAAATCAGAAGCGATGGGAGCCATGTCTTCCCCAAATCTATTTTGAATCTTTAAGACAACACAATATATATAATATAAATTGTAATAATATTTCACAATATTACAGTATTTTTACTGTATTTTTATCACATAAATTCAACCTTGGTGAGCTTAACAGATTTCTTTTTAAAAACATCTATATATATTTCATATTGTTCATTATAGTTTGTCTTTATGAATCCACATTTCAAGAACATACCTGAACTTGATTAACTTGGCCGCTCTCTGCACATTTGCCTTCTCCTTTTAAAAAAGTCCTGGAATGGACATAAATGAACATGAAACATTACTGTGAAGAGATATTCATTGTTAGTTTATCCCTAATGAATGAACTAATGTCAACGTACAGAACCTTGTAGTTCCCTTTTTTACAGTTTGCAGCTTTTCCATTATGAAATAGGCCTAATGCTATACGTCTAGAGGTCTGCTGCACGCCAATAACCTCCCTCAGTCCCCCCAGTGGTTAGGTTTACAATTAGATGTAGGCAGAGATGGGCATAAATACATGTGAAATTGGACATCCAGTGTAGGTATAGGTCACAATGAATGAAGAAACTACATAGGCCTATTGCTGGCAATTACAAATAAACTTGTGCAAAATAGCAGCCATTTATACTTATTTCTGACCAGGTTACAATGGTTACAACAATACTTGTGGTGAACACTATAAAAAAATTCATACTGTCTGTATGTAAAACTGTGGGAACCTTTTCAGCAAAGAATGTGACCCAAAATCTTAATTTTACTTCACAGTAACAATATATATCCTGGTTTCACAATTCTCAATATCAGTTTTGATACAACAGCAAAAACTGAATTTCTAACACTTTTGAGGCTTTTTTTTTTTGCGGAAAACCAACCCAATGCAAAAACCCAATGCACAGGACAATAGAGACACCACAAAAACAATATTCATGATTCTGAAGCTGAAAATAAATTATTATTTTAGACGAATATGCTTGCACTCTGTCACTGACTAGATATACTGTATATTTAAAATAATGTAGGCCACTTTACTTTACTGGTAACATCAGACATTTGGCATTATCAGGACCCACAAATATTCCCCCATTGCATTATTATTATATTCAACATTATATATAGCTTAATAGTACTCACACTAAAACTCTGAAAACGTGAATTTTTTCTCACACAGTAGTTTTTATTTTGGGTGAACTATCAACGATACATATTGTTGCGATATATTGCGACACAGTATTATTAAACCCATATTTTTAAGTATAGTAATTTTATATTTATTTTATGTAAAGTTTATTTGTTTCTATAAGTTTATTAAAATTAGAAAGTTTATCTAAAATGTTAAATTAGAATTAATTTGCCACTATTTTACCCAAAGTTTATTTTTTATTTTTTTATGTACAATAAAACTAAAAGCTCAAGATTTTTGTGGTGTATCATTATTTCATCAGTGCTTCTTTTCCCACTCCAATGTTCCAATAATTCTTAAATTGCCCACTAAAAGCTGCACGGATAAATTTGCTTACCCCGGCCTAACGTTATCTATGTAAACGATTTAGAAAAAGTTCGATTCACACTTTATATCATCACTATGATATGTAGTGTCATCACCCAGCCCTAACATGCAGTAATGCTTTAAACACATTTTACAAACTTTTATTCTTTCATGTTAACTGAAGGCAAATCTGAATAACTTTATTTATTCAGGCCTTTAAATTTAACTTTAATCAACAAGTAGAATTGATCATGACGTCCTCACCTTATTCCAGAAAAATCGCTGCTGCTCACATGCATGAATGTTGCGGTTGGGGGGAGGGGCGTGTCTGAACTAGTTTATGCATGAAACCAGTCTACCCTGATAAAGAGGTTGACTGGCAAAAAGTAGGCTATTTTATGTATTTTGAAAATACAAAAATACTCATCTTAAATGTATTTAAATACAAATTAGCCTACATTTGATTTTTTCCAAAGGCTTCAAAATACAAAATAGTATTTTGTATTTCAAATACGTATTTTAAATACATGTATCTGAAATACTGCCCATCCCTGGATGTAGGACTTATATTATGTATATAGATCATGTAGGCTATTTTATCCAATCATCAATCAGGTAGCAGACTCAACGGAGGGGAGTAATAATCTGGCAGGCAGGGAATCGAAATTCGGCACAACACCAGAATCGAAACTGAAACTAATGATAAGGTTTATTCTTCAAAAATAGTTAAAAGTTAAAGACTAGTTTCAGATCAGAGAAAAAAGCATTTCACTTTTGAACCCGATTGCGTTTTGGATTAGCCTACGATAAAATTGCCTACTTTAGAAATTTTGAATAATTAGGCCAACATAGTAGGCTATTTAATAGGCCTACCTTTATAATATTTATATACACAACGATGCTTACCTTTTTCTTCGTGCAACATAAACATGTAAATGTAAGCTCTTTCCTGACTGTCAATATGCCAGAAGAACGTTACAAGTTTCCTGCATAGACATACAACCAGACTGAGCCGTGAACTCCGCCCGCTGCAATAATGCGCGCGCGTGCACCTCCCCAAACGGACGAGGCATACTTGACGCGCTCGCCGTTGTACCACTCTTTGAAACGACAGGTGGCGACTCGGAGTATTTGTCAATGTCCCCTGCCTAAACCACCAGGAATGAGCGGTGAGAAGAAAAGATACACGCGTTTATTTTAGTAGGCACACCATCAATACCACACAAGAATCGTGTAAAACCCAGTAAACCTTGAGATTATTAGGCTTGTGACATTAGAACAAAATATGGATATGAGAACATGTAGGCTATGTATGTAACTAAATTTAGTTGTATTAATGATCTCTTAAATATTTTCTAATTTCACTAAACATTTTCATTTAGTTTCGTGAACATTTCTATTAAACATGGACCTTTATGTTCATTAAAAAGGCTTATTATGCTCATTAATATAAGCAATATTTTAGATGCGCAAACTGGGTACCAGTGCATACCTGTCAAGTTTTGGATTTGAAAATAAGGGAAATTTTCCGGCGCCCACCGCGAGCAGTCCCACCACCCCAACCAAGCTCCCCTTACATTTTAAGACAGGTGTTAATTAAAACACACACACACACATATATGGTATATATATATATATATTAAGAGCATTATTTAAAGGCTTATTTGCATATTTTCTGTTCATTTAACATTGCTTGTCTTTACATTTACATTTTATTTTCATTCCACACATTATTTTCATTTCACATTGCTTTTCATTTGCAGTTTTTCTTTTCATTTCACATAACTTTTCTTTACTCTTTTAGTGAGTTATTGAACAAATTTGTTGCAGACTTTGTATTAACTGTTTTGGAAGGAGTGTATTTGTGGGCTGGGCCAGAGTGGTTAATTTTACAAGAGAGTAGCAAACAGTTCTGTTGTCTAACGTCATCCTATTCTCTGTAACAATCTTTCGTACTATGCTCCTTCCCCGTGTGAGATGCTAACCGTGACCGTGACTGTCGCTGTCCCCCACCCTGCTCCTCTTCAGAAAAGTAAATTCGCTATCCCATTGATCGCGGTATTTAGTACATGAGGGTTTTGGTTTTTTGGCAGGAGTGCCTTGCTCTGTCATATCATAGCGTAGATCATCCGACTCTGTTTTTTTTTTTTTTTTTTTTTTTTTTCGCGTTGTCACTCATCATCTGACCACTAACCTCGCGACACTGCCACCTACAGTACCTGTAGTAATCGCGAGGCTAGTGACAGAGCTCCGAGTGGGAATGTTTTTTTTTTTTTTTACTCCGCCCGGGGTATTATTATTTTTCAATAACGCAGGTTAAAATACGGGAGATTTACGGGAAAACACTAATACGGGAGGACGGCGGGAAAGAAGGGTAAAATACGGGACTTTCCCGGCCAAAACGGGATACTTGACAGGTATGTACCAGTGTGGTGAAGTGCTGAGTCCCAGCGAAGAGATAAGTCCCAGCTTAGGACCCCAGTAGTATGATGTATGTCTACAGCATTTATTTATTTCCACGTTTATTTCTACATTTAGCATATTTATTTCTAGAATGCAGGCATATATCATCTCATCCGTCTTATAATAACAAATAGGCTAATGTTAATTTAAAAAAAATTCAATGAGTGGAGGAAGATTTTGTCAAACATTTTGCGCTACAGATTCTGAACGTCATTAAAGGGATAGCCTACTCCACCCAAAAATGAAAATTCTGTCATCATTTACTCACCCTCAAGTTGTTGCAAACCTGTATGAGTTTCTTTCTTCTGCTGAACACAAAGGGAGATATTTTGAAGAACGATTGGAACCAAACAGTTGTTTGGCACCATTGACTTAGTAGAAAAAAAAATACTATGGACAGCTCTATTCTACCATATTGAAATATATATATATATATATATATATATATATACACACACACATACACGTATGTCTGTAACAGGAAAGTGGATAGTAGACACCTAGTGAGACAGGAACAGTACAGAGATAAAATGTACCACATTTGCCGCTGTAATTTTTTTCCTCAGCTTATTCAGTTCTGTGATTGGGTTTCTGTAAAGTTAGTAGGCCTAAGTATTAAAATAATCATGTCTGTTTCAGCATGCAGGTAATTATGCAACGTCATGACCTTCAAGAGAGGCTTTTATCACTCAGTTGTTCCAAAATGATAAAATATAGGCTATAATTTTATCTTTATATAAAGTATATTTTATTTAATGTATTTTTCTATACAGAAGTCAAAGTAAAATAGTCATAAAAATGTGTATAAATTGTTCATTTTAATTTTAATTTTTTTGAACAAAACTTTCAAACAGACTCACAAATGTCCTATTTATGCGAAATAATTTTTTTTTATGCTTACACAGTTGTTGGTGTGATTTCTCTTAATTCACAGTACTAACATTCATTAGTGTTAAAAACCATATTGTGGTACAACATTATAACAATCAACAGCAATAATGCAACATGCTTAAGTGATATAAGAACTTTGTTTGCACTTCCTATCATAACCTTGAATGACTATGTAAGATTCTTAAAGAAATAGAACAGACAAAAAGAACAGAATAATCTTAAGATGCCTTATTGTGGTGATCTAGAGATGTACATCGATAATAATGAGTACAAGCTTACACACAAATATAATATTAAATCAGCTACAAAGGGAGATAAAACTCAACTAGCAGCACTTTATAAGATTGTCCTAAATAGGACCAATATCATCCAGATAGTCGTCTGCAAAGTTGAGCATCTGCTGTATAGCGGTGAGAAGCAGGACGTCACAGTTGAGCTCCAGCTCCAGCTCCTGACTGTAGTTCTTCACCGGTAACACACAAGACACCGGCACACCCAACCGAGAGCTCACCTCCTGCACCTGCAGAGACAAAACAACATGTCATTTACATCTATACATTTAGCAGGCATTTCTATTCAAAGTGACTAAGTTGAGCATGAGGAATTTGTCACAAAACCGACAATATTTGTAGTATACAATGCCAGGTTTAAGAGAGGTTCAAGGTTATAGAGAGTGACTTAATGTGAAGGAACAACAGGTCACTGAGTCCTGAACGAAAAGTCCATGTTATCGGGTGATCATGCCTCACCTTCGTCTTGATGTAAGAAGTGATATAAATATTTTGAAGATCTTCCATCACATCAGGACATGCTTCATCTACTTTTGTCATCAAAACCATCTGGGGAATGCCTTAAAAAATGTGTAAATAACCATTAGTTAGTTTTGGAACATTTGGCATAAGACAAGAATTATGCAACAAACCGCAAGTATTAGTGTTAGTCACTAGATTACAATTAATCTTTGATATAACAATTATCTAAAAAATCTTAACTTACCCAGTGAGTTCACTTTTTTGCGTATGGCAGCGAGTTTTTCCTCTAGTTGGTCAGACATGAGGGAGATTTTGGTGGCGTCGATCACATACACCACACAGTGGATCTTCTCCTGTAGAGATGCAGGTCTGCAGGCCTTTTGCTCATCCGGTTGAAATGGTGACATGGGGTTGAACTGAATTGAAAGTAATGGAAATGAAAGATACATTTTACTCATAAATACCGGTATACATTTCCAAGCCCAAACATGAACCCATGCACTTACTTTATAGCGGTCTGGTACGTGACCTTGAAGAATGCTGCTGATGTCATCAATATCCAGTCCTGCACCCGATTGCTCCTCGAGTCCCATGGTGTCACACAACACAAATGGCAACGGCTTTCCTTCACGGCCGTCTTTCACTGGGTATGTGCGAAACTACCAACCAAGAAGAGAAACACATCAAGACCTGAAGTCATCAAGAGCTGTTCTTGACCTGAAGAGACACTTCTGTAGGAAACACTATGAATCCTGTTGAATCTGTACCTGTGTGGTCAGACTAGTGCCTGCAGATCCTGACATGGCTTTGCTGGTCATGCGGCCCATGAAGACGGAGTTGATGGAGTTGAAGAAACTGGATTTTCCAGCACCTACAGGACCGATCATTAGGATTCTGACCCGACTCACAGACGTCATCATGGGTTTATAATTCCTGATCATTTTCATGAGCTCGTCTCTTTGTCTACAACAGAGATCACGACTTTATTATAACAGAACTGTATGAAATCAGCAGCAAAATATCACTGAGTGAAAACTTACTTTGCTGTCCACTGAACATTTCTCCATGGCTTCATCTTGGCACTGATCTGAGGATCTTTTTCTGGGGAAGTTTTATTATACAACTTACTTTCGCATTAACATTAACAGCAGTATATTTTAAGATACTGGACTCTGAATTTCAGAGTCCAGTATCTTAAATTTACTGAATTTCTATAATTTACTCTACACAACTAACTATACACGTGTATATCAAATACAATAAACATTTATAAAAAAAAAATTCTGATAGTTTACTTACTCTGTTCCACTTTGTACACCTCACATTCATTCAGCTGAGTGTCATTCCCATACAGTGTGGCAGGATTAAAATTGAATGGATTAACCCTCACTTTATATACACCATATGCATTCTGTCCTTGATGATATACAACTGGTTGGTTGCTGTAGCAAAAGTACAACTGTTGGCCGAAGTTGGGTGCTCCAGCATCATCAAGACGTGCATACTGTCCACTGTTAACTTTGATGCACACAGGGATCTCGCCTTCAACGCTGAACAGGAAAGCTTCCTCATCTGTAATTTGCCGTCCACTTTGAGTATAATCTACACTAGTGTATCCACCAAAGATGTAGCCTGAACTGTTATAGGCTACAAGTAATGTGGGACCCTGACGGTCACATCGCTGATGGAAAGCAGAAGCATTATATCCATGAACAGAAGCTTTGTAGAGAAGAGTCAGTTCAACATTCCCCAGCAAACCACAGAGCTGCTTTCTTTGCTCTTGTGTTAAATTAGAAGTGAGGGTGACCATGCTTTTGTTCATCTTTAAGACAAGACAAAAATATATGAAAAAATTAATTACATATCAGTAATTAATACCACTTCTATGAGTTGTTTTACACTCATAGAAGTAAACACACTTTAGTTAACAAATTAAACTAACAGTAAACAATTCTTTATTTGATGTCAGCATAAACTAATAAATTTACGTTAACATTATTTTCTACCATGGTATCGCAGAGGCAGCTCATGGAACAAAATATATCCTGCTAAGCAGTATTTGCATAAGGTTTCACCCGCCCGGTCAGAAACTAGACCGTTTAACTAGAAATGAAACTGAAATCAGCTCGACAAAGAATGACTGAATGGACGAATTATTTTTATTTTAATCACTGTAATGTAATAACAGTTTGTTAAAAGTGAAATACTTACTTAGATCTGAGAAACTTTCGTGTTGGAAACCGATAGCATAGGTTTACGATAAATGTGTTTTAGATTAGCAAATACAACATCACAATTTTAGATAGGCTATTCATGATTTATGATATTTATATCGTCAATAAAGCTTACCTTTTAGCTGTATCTTTGTGCATCAAACACTGAAATGCTCTTCATACAAGATCATACACCAGCATTAAAAAAAGCATACAAGCCCCTCCTATAAAACACAGATCTGCCCTTCCCTTTTCCCTTTCCCTGACCTTAGTCCAAGGATGGGCAACTTCAGTCCTGGAGGGCCATTGTCCTACAGAGTTTAGCTTCAACCCTAATCAAACACATCTGAACAAGCTAATCAAGGTCTTCAGGATTAGAAAGTTACAGGCAGGTGATTTTTCAGGGTTGGCGCTAAACTCTGTAGGACAGTGGCCCTCCAGGACGTTGCCCATCCCTGCCTTAGTCATAACATACTCCAGAGAACAGCAGATCCATCCATCCATCCATCCATCCATCCTCCATCTATTATCTATCCATCTATCTATCTATATGAATTGATGATATAATTTGTATACAGCACTCACTGCTGCAAACGTTTTTGCGTGCTTTAATGAATTTCTGAGTATTTAAATCAGCTCTGTCCTCGAATCAATTCGGTTTGTTTTGTGAACCGGTTCAAACGGCCATTAAAAAGATCCGACTCAAAAGCGATTCGTTCACGAATCGGACATCGCTAATCAAGGGAGATCCGTCGCCAACAACAACACCATTTCAGTGCGGTAAACCAACCATGGGGACCCGTGACGACGAATACGATTATTTGTTTAAAGGTCAGTGATTAGTGTAGTATCAAAGAGAAGAATACACGTGTTTTGGTTTCCTTTATTATCAAAGAAAACGGCAAGTTTCCTGATGACTGTGGGTAGCTGGTTTAGCTGGAATGCTAGGGTGCTGACATTACTATAGAAATATTACCCGGTGACTTTCAAAGAATCAAAAGTTGAAAGTAGATTCATACATTTTAATAGTGATTTTCATGATTTGCATCGTCACTATTCACTAAACCATTATGCAATTTGATTAATTTAGTTGTATTATGTTAGCTAAGCAGCTATAGCTCTCAAACTGCAGTAGAAGCTAAAGTGAACTATATAAAACTAACTTGTCTGTTTTAATATAAGCAGTTCGTTCCTAAATGATAAACAAAATCTGTTCAATTCACTTCAGCGGAATATACGTCAATACCAATAACGTCGAAAAACGGGTAACTTTCTATTCGTTTAGTAATGTGTTGCTTAATGTTTAGTGTGGTTGTGTTGCTAGGCCATATGAAACTTTTTGTCGTTTATTACACAAGAGTCCCTTCTTGATGTTCAACAGGCCAAATTTGGTCATTAATCTGCAATTGTAAGCATTTTTTTGTAGTTGGGACGTATTTACAACTCGTAATTTAGTTAAATCGTTAAGTTTACAGATGAACTCTGTAATGTGAAGTTGACAACAGTAGATTATCATGACGTCATTCTAAAAAAAACATTTGTGTGTCTGTGTGTGTGTGTGTGTTTTGCCCATTCAAATACGTCTTGTTCCTGTTGGGCTCCATTGGGTTCCTGTTTTTACACTAAGCCTTTAAAAAGTTTGAGTGAGTGAGAAACCACAAATAACTGTCTGTAGAGGTTTCACAGATACGCCACATTGGTTATTCTTAAGATTTATTGTTGAAAGCTTTGACCTGTGTTTCTCTACAACCGTTTTGTGAATTACTTCAGGTTTCATCTAGAAAAAGTGAAAGGTGACCACGTTGCAACAGACACAGTATGAGCTGTTTGATATTTTCTATGCATTTCTCATTCTTTATGGAATTTGACTAAGCCTATGTTTCAGTTTTTATGGTGTCAAATTGATGGAGCAAAAGGAAAATGACAGTGGAAGTGTGTGTTTGTAGATTATGGCTTCTCTCTTATCTCTCTGGCCTTGTCATGTTGAATTAACCAGGATGACTGACTAATCTAGTTATTCTGCTTTTCAAATTATGACATATGTATATGCTTTGGGTGCACACTTTGGTTTGTGGTTTAATTTCAAGGACTGTTCTTTTTTTGGCCTTCATTTTATGTTTTATTCTTATGGTGATGGATGGATGGCTATAATATCTTCACTATAAATATGGTTTTTATAAGAGCAGCTATGAAGCGTTATTAGATATCAGGTCTTGCTCGAAACAGCCTGATGTTTTCTTATGTTTTCTAGTGGTACTCATTGGAGACTCTGGTGTGGGGAAGAGTAACCTGTTGTCCCGTTTCACTCGGAATGAGTTCAACTTGGAGAGCAAGAGCACCATTGGTGTGGAATTCGCAACCCGCAGTATCCAGGTGGACGGCAAGACCATAAAGGCTCAGATCTGGGATACAGCAGGACAGGAGCGCTACAGAGCCATCACATCAGCGTGAGTACATGAGCACTGGCAGCACACACAGGAGGTCCCAAAATAAGGTTTAAAAGGCTTTTTTTTTGTGATCTAATAATAAAACAATTCAAAAAATAAATAAATATTAAACAATAACATAATTATATAAAAATTAATATTTTTATAAAACACTGTTATAATTATATTTAATAAGGGTAATTTTATTTATTTTATAGAAATATTATTGATGATATTATATAGAGATTTAAGATAAAATAATTATTTTATATAATATAATTTTCAGAATTATTATTGTTAAAATAGTTTTAATATTTGAAATTATTTATTATCATTAAAAATAAATATAAATGATTTTTATAGTAATAATTCTATAAAGTAATCTTATAGATATTGATAAGTTATTTTTAACTTTAAATTATTTTATTATTTGAATTCCATTTACAGTTTTTCTCAAGTGCTTTGGCTCATTTTTCGAAAACAGATTTTTGTATTCTCTAAACTGTAAAGCTCAATTGTCAAATCTGTTTGCTGGAACATCAGAGCTCTATTGCAGTGGTTCCCAAACTGTGGTCCGCGGACCACTAGTGGTCCGTGAGGGTACTGCAGGTGGTCCGTGGAAAGGCAAAATAAAATACAAAATAATATTTTTTTTACCTTCATTTTACCAGGAAATTCCCATTAAAAAAATGTAAAAAGAATATGTAGGCCTATATTGATATAAAATTTAAATTAAATTGTCAAGTTATTGTGTGATTACTAAAATAGGCTAGTGGCCTATTTCGGTGGATAGCAACAGGTTCTCTGAAGAGAAAAGAGGCAGAGGCAAATATTTTGACATTATATTAAATATTAGATTATAATTTCACCAACAATAATTCTGGATTGCCTCCACCAAACAAGTAAATAAGAAATAAGCAAATCAGAACACTGCTCGCCAAAACAGCAGTATGCGCGCAAGTGTGAACCATAGTGTTTCTTGCTGTATCTTTTACTGGGGTCTCCAACACGTCGCTCGCGAGCTACCAGTAGCTCGTGGCCTGATTGGAGGTAGCTCGTCAAGGGCTACATATCGTGTCGTTTGCGCTCTCAAGTTCGTTATTTCATGTAGGCGCACGGCAAGCGCGCTCATAATTGAAGCGACGCGCTCATTTTTTCCAAGCGCAGCGAGATGAAAACACCTCAACTTTTCATAATGCCGCAAAAACGCATCGCAGTTCATGTGACAAGAACAAACCAATCAGCTTCATCCTTTCCGTAAACATTGAAAGCTCAGTCAACATGAACAATGGGGGTGCACCGGCTGCACCCAAACACTACGGGTGTTTTTCTCTTCTCCGTAAATAAATCTTGTAGCAGAGCTACAGCAAGCGTTTTTCGATGGTGTAAATCTATTAGCTACTAAAACTTCTTTGTCGTTGTGGAGAGCGCAGTGCATGGTTGCATAGCAACGACAGACAGCACGGGAAATCGGACCGAATTTTACTTTTAATAATAAAAGATTGCTAATGTGCATCAATGTAAATGGCAAGTAATTTATCTTTTTTTGACTCATTCTTTTTATAAAAATGATTTAAAGGCTGAAATATGTGAGGTTTATCTTTTTATAAAACCTTTTTTGTGAAAAATTATTTAAAGGCTGAAATATGTGAGGTTTATCTTTTTATAAAACCTTTTTTGACAAAACTTTATTTGAATTTCATTTTACTATATGTGCCTATAGGGGTGGCGGCAATGTAAGTATCTGGATATTTGCCGCGGGGCGAGGGCTTCGATTACCTCTCTCTTTTTTGACCATACATGTTTGCATCCCTGAAAAATGAACCCGATTATGCCCTCGGGCGCTTGAGTAAATAAATAAATTAAATATGTGGCAGCCGTTGTGTGCAGTAAACGTTCTTTTAACAAGCTGTTGTACTGATGTGATGACCAGTTATAGTTTTAGTGCTAGTAAGCCTATTTAGAGGTGCGGATTAATTCAGGTAGGACTGTGTGTAGACATATTTTATTATGTGTATTATGAGGTGGTCCGCGAAAATTCTTGATTACAAATAGTGGTCCACACACACAAAATTTTTTAAAAACCCTGCTCTATTGCATGTCTGCAAAACGTAGTAACTCACCCAAAACATTTAATTCATGCTTCAAAACCTAGTTATTGTCAATAAATTGGCCAATGCCACCAAAATAAAAGGTGTTTTTGTCATCGTGTGAGTGGTCAAAAATGTTTAGATGTTTTTTCACTGTAAAATTATTTGTTATATACAGTGGGGGAAATAATTATTTGATCCCCTGCTGATTTTGTAAGTTCGCCTACTTACAAAGAAGGGTCTATAATTTTTATGGTAGGTTTATTTTAACGGAGAGAGACAGAATATCAACCAAAAAATCCGGAAAAAACACATTATAAAGGTTATAAATTGCTTTGCATTTCAGTGAGTTAAATAAGTATTTGATTCCAGAGCAAAAAATAATTTAGCACTTGGTGGAGAAACCTTTGTTGGCAAGCACAGAGGTAAGACGTTTCTTGTAGTTGGTCACCAGGTTTGCACACATCTCAGGAGGGATTTTGGTTCTTTACAGATCCTCTCTAAATCCTTAAAGTTTGTTAGCTTTTGCTTTGCAACTCAAAGTTTCAGCTCCCTCCACAGATTTTCTATAGGATTAAGGTCTGGAGACTGGCTAGGCCACTCTAAGACCTTAATGTGCTGCTTTTTGAGCCACTCCTTTGATGCTTTTGCATTGTCATGCTGGAAGTCCCATCCACGACCCATCTTCGGTGTTCTGGCTGAGGGAACGAGGTTCTCATCCAAGTTTTGAAGGTACATGGCCCTGTCCATCAGCCCCTCAATATAGTGAAGTCGTCCTGTACCCTTAGCAGAGAAACAGCCCCAGAGCAAGATGTTTCCACCTCCGTGCTTGACTGCAGGGATGATGTTCTTGGGGTCATAGTCAGCATTTCTCTTCCTCCAAACACGACGAGTTGAGTTGATGCCAATGAGCTCAATTTTGGTCTCATCTGACCACAGCACTTCCTCCCAAGCCTTCTCTGAATCATTAGATGGTCATTGGCAAACTTCAGATGGGCTTCTACATGTGCCTTCTTGAGCAGGGGGACCCATAGGTATATAACAATCCATTGCGGCGTAGTGTGTTACCAATGGTTTGCTTGGTGACTGGGGTCTCAAGTGCCTTGAGATCATTAACAAGCTCCTCCCTTGTAGTTCTGGGCTTATCCCTCACCTTTATCATGATCATCCTTTCCTCATGAGGCCAAATTTTGCATGGAGCTACAGACCGAGGCCGATTGATGGTTATTCTGTATTTCTTCCATTTCCTAATGATGGCACCAACAGTTGTCTCCTCCTCACCAAACTTCTTGCTGATGGTCTTCTAGCCCATTCCAGCATTGTGCAGGTCTACAGTCTTGTCCCTGATGTCCTTTGACAGCTCTTTGGTCTTACCCATGGTGCGGGAGAGGAAGGAATGAAAGATACAGATTCTGTGGACAGGTTTCTTTTACACATTACGAGCTGACATTAGGAGTACTTTCTTAAAGTGACAGGACTAATCTGTGTTCCACATGGGCACATAACCAATCTGTGGGAGGAGGAATTCTTGCTGGTTGGATCAAATACTTATTTCACTCGCTAATCAAATGCTAATCAATTTACAACCTTTATATAATGTGTTTTTCTGGATTTTTCGGTTGATTATTCTGTCTCTACTCTATCCATTAAAATAAACCTACCATAAAAATTATAGACCCTTCATTTCTTTTTATTTTATATGTAACACTTTTCTAGAAAAAATGCAAATGTATTTATACAGTACTGATGTAGCTGCTGCTGGTTTATAGTTTAAATTCTATAAAACTTAAATAATCAAATTATTACATTAAAACTAAATAAAAATAATTTGATTAATCAATGCATCATTTAGTAATTTTATTAATCATTAATGATGAAATTATAATATTTAGAATACTGTAATTTATATAATAATAATAATAGTGGTAGTAGGCCTTGTAGTTGTAATAATTTATCAATAGTAATAATTCTATGAAGTTATGGATCAAATTAAAAAAATATATATTAATTTTATTTCTATTTAATATTATTATAATTGTATTTCTTGTATAGAAATATAATTATCAGTTATAATCTTTTTTTAAATATAGTATAAGTATATATTATATGTATATACTTATACTTAAGTATAGTATAATTAAGTATAGTATAAGTTATTGTTGATAATATATATATATATATATAATTATATATAATTATATAATATATTGTAATTTTATTACTATTATTATTATTTGTATTAATGTTTTACCAATAGTAGTACATCTATAAAATAATTGTATAGTTATTAATACAATTATTTATAGTTGAATTAATAATAATTCTATAAAACTTAAAAAATATCAAAATTCATTAAAATATTTTTATTTTTTTATTTTAGTCATTGTCATTAACAAATATTTACATCCATTTATCTTTACTGAATATGAATTTGAATATGATCCTGTATGATATACATTTTCAGTATGTGTTTTGCGTGGATCTTGTTTACAGGTACTACCGGGGTGCAGTTGGAGCTCTTCTGGTCTATGACATCGCAAAGCATCTGACTTATGAAAATGTAGAGCGCTGGCTGAAGGAGCTGCGGGATCACGCGGATAACAACATTGTCATCATGTTGGTGGGCAACAAGAGCGATTTGAGGCACCTGAGGGCCGTGCCCACCGATGAGGCCAGAGCTTTTGCAGGTGAGCGTCTCCTCCGGCTTTTGTTCTGATGTTGGATAAGAACAGATCTACTTCAGGTGTTAAAATATCTCTCATCTTGTGTTATTTAGAGAAGAACAATCTCTCCTTCATCGAAACATCGGCTTTGGACTCCACAAATGTGGAGGAGGCATTTAAAAACATACTAACAGGTGGGTCCTGATTCTGATTAAAGGTGCGATCACAGTAGACAAAATGCAAGTAATTTTGTAAGTAAATGTATTTTTGTTGGTCAACGTGGCGAATCTGCTCGACCAACTCAAACCCATTGGGAAATCTTTCGCCCTTGCGCAAAACTCAGTGGATTGCAATTGAAATGACTGAATTTTGCCCCGAAAATGTGCAATTGATGATAAATGTGACCACACCGTAACACATTCCAATTGGGCATCTCAAATGAAATGTCTCGTAACGTAACTCGGCTCTTTTTGTTGCAGAAATCTATCGGATCGTGTCACAGAAGCAGATCGCCGACAGGTCCATGCATGACGAGTCTCCCGGGAACAACGTAGTGGACATCAGTGTGCCGCCCACTACCGATGGGTTAAAGGGCAACAAATTTCAGTGCTGTCAGAACCTGTGACCCCACTTCCCACCGGCTCCACCCCGAACCCTTGAGCTTCAGTTCCCCTCTATTTATCTCGGCTTTGCTCCTGTGTGTTGTGCTATGGCTACGGCTCTTTCCTCTTTTTACCTAGTTGTGATTTCCACGCAAATTCTAGATGTCCCTTAGAAGCGTGAATCTCTTGGTAACATTCCTTGTCCTTTTTTGGGGGGTTCTTGTTTTTTTGTCCCTGTTTTGTTTTTCTTTATTATTATTATCCACTCTCTGAAGTCATGTTTGCTCGGCAAAAAGTTTTTCCTCGGAAGTGATTATTCGGGCGCTGATCGTGTGATCCGCTCCTACGGAAAAGGGATGGTGAGGGATCAGTGTGTCTTCGGCTTCCAGCCACTCTGATGGGTATCTCTGGGATCCACACTAAACATAAACCGTCTGACGTCTGACTTGAGCTTAAATGGGCAAGTTCTTTGAAAAAAAAAAAAAAAAAAAAAAAGTGCACGTTTTGCGAATTCGTCTTGTTTGGATCGCGGGGATACCAAAGGAGGGCTGCTGTCATCTTTATTTCAATTCTTTAACATTTTCAAGCATCACACCCTTAGTCCTATTTTGCAATGTTTTACGCCAGGGCTGACGGGTGTGAATTAGTGCAATTTGATTGATGCGTTCAGATTGCCGTATATATAGCAGTTATGTATGTGAATGCGTCTACTAAGCATTTCATGAGAAATTATTCAAATAACAGTTATATATATATATATATATATATATATATAAATATATATATATAAACTATTCATTGCATTGCTGAGTCTGAGGTATTATATCTCTTCTGTGGGAAAATGCAATGTTCCGCAGTGTTTTAGATGGTCAGTTGTTTCACCGGTCTGTGAAAACGTCACTATATATTCGATTGTTTGACTTTAAGTGATATGGCTATTTTGGAAATGCCTTATGTTTTCCCATACTGTGATTAAGATGCCTTTTTCAAGTGTGGTTATGTGACATTTACACATTCATGAAGTCACAACAGCTGTGTTGCCTTTTATCAGGTTACATAAAAAAGGAAAATAAACCAAATTAATGTCACAATTGCAATCATGATTTATTTTTTTGACTCCATATTCCACAACACGCCTGTCACAGCATGATATGTATGTCTGAATCCGTACCTAAAAAAAGTGTTATATGCACTGTGGTTGGCATGACTCATGGGTCTATTGATGGTTAGGTACAAACTAAAAAAATGATCTAAAAACGCTGTATTATTCATGAAAGGCCAGTCGTTGGCGATGTCAACTTTGTGAAGAGTCCACGCATCGACTGAACATGTAAAATGCATACGCATGATGTCAGCGTTTTCACAAATTCGTGTTTTTACTAATAGGCGTAAACGGCCTATTAGTTTCCATGTCACAAGAAATACACCAGGTTAAATACAAATTAAGACCTCAGACTTGTTCGGGCTTGGGGCTGTTTACACAACATTGTTTTCAACTAAAACCGTAAAACTTTTTATATGTTTCAGCCGTCTATTTACATGACAACAGTGTTTTGGGGGCCTGAAAATACAAACTTTTGAAAACGGGTTTCAAAGGATATGTTTTTGAAAATTATACCGTTACCGTCTCCATGTAAACTACAAAAACGTGAATTTGTGAAAATGGTGACGTCATGCGCATGATGTGTATTACGTGTTCAATCTATAGACATCAGGAAAGCAAATATGTGACTTTTTAATTTCTCCTTAAAACATTTTATTTTAGGATTGCTTTTACTTGATTATTCATTTTATTTGTTTATTTTTGTATTTAAAGTGTGTAGTTTTCTCTGTTGTTATGTTTGCCTGTAAAGCGCTTTGAGAAAGCAACTTTTAAAGGCGCTATATAAAATAAATGTATTATTATTATAGTCGCGTAGTGTTTCTTTACAGTGACATCGCCAACTATTGGGCTGGCATGAATGATACAGAGTTTTTAATCGTTTTTGCAGATCTGTGTGAACAGGGGTCGTTTTTACAATGTTGTCGTCTGTATGCGAAAAAACGCGAAGGAAAAACGTTTCCATTTTTAGTACATTGTTGTCGTGTAAATGTACACTAAAACTATTAAAAACATTTCTCTTAATTAAAATAAAATATACTCTAAAAATGAATAAACTGAAATAATTTTGTTGAAGCACTAAAATTATTAACTGGGATTAAATAACTAAAACTGAAATAAAAATAAATCAAACCTAAATATTAATATTTAAAAAGGACAAAAGCACATAATGAAATTGCTAAATATTAAATTAAAATGAAAATGAGAACTAAAAATATATAAAAATAAAAGCTAATTCAAAATATTAATGGATCTATAATAAAATAAAAATGGTTTATCTATGTCAAAATTAATGTCTTGATGTTTTTTTTTATTATGGCTTTGTTAATAAGAAAACACATTACACATTACACAGTTGTTATTTAGGATTTTAAACTAGTTTTATTTCAAGTGTTTAAAATCCAAGACTTGGTAAAAATGACTTGCAAAAATAATTGACCCAAGACACATAAAAAAAGAAAAGAAAAAGTATTTTGTTCAAAAACAATGTGACTACAGCCTCATATCAAAGAAAACTACTCATCAAAATAATTAAATTAAGTTGGATTTAATTGAATATTAAATTTAGTTTGTAAATAAATATTAAATTAAGTTTGTCATAAACTTATTGAATTTTTTCAATAGCTAAGAAATAGACTAAGAAGACAAGTGTTTTTAGGTTAAAGAATGATTAATGTGTGATTTTTTGACACATTAAAAAATTGCAGAAAAAAAAACATTTTTAGATTACATTCATTAAACAATTTGGTACAAACCAAAAAAGACGGAATAAAAGTGCACATTCTTATGCACAAAACTAAAATAAGGAGGTTACTGAAGTAATGTACATTTTGTTCACTATTGCTAAAAAATAATGACATCATTAAAGAATGATTCTCAAATCAAACCATATTTCCATCACAACACATAAAAGCTCCCCATGAGAAGTGATCAGTCCTTAGAAATAACAATAGGCACTTCTCGGATAACGGTTATTCACAAAGCTGTTTACGTAAATTCCGAGGCAGCGCTGCGTACAGAAGCTCCTCCTCCTACGCTTTTCTCGTACACACTACACAGCGCTAATCAGAGACGTCGGTAGGAGGCCGAGTCGTTTGCTGAAAGGATCAAACCCAAAACAAGACTTGTACTTTTACCTTATCGTTTGAAAACAAGCGTCATTTTCAAAAGGAATTCACATTTAAACACAACAGCTCAACATGGAGATTCAGAAGGTAAGATTAGACAATAAATGTTGTTTTAATCTATAATCCCAGGCTTTGGTTTGGTGGCATATTTTGCTACATGGCTAAGTTAGCTAATGTAACTAGCAGCCTAATGCAGCTGCATTATTCCACATTCAATCTGACTGTCTTAATACGTATTGAATCGTTTTAGTTTCAATTTGAACGAATAGTTTGAAATCTATACAATATTTATTGCTGTATTAGAGGACATTTATGTTTCATTTGCAGCTTGTGATGTGTGCCAAAGGCCCACCCAAGACCAGTGTCAGACAGATCAAACCAGATCAGATGGTTTCAATGTGGACTGACACTATGGCAGCACAAGTAGTGGATTTAATATATATTGGGGATAAAAATAAAAAAGACAGGGTATAAAAGTGCACGTTCTTACACAAAAATGAAATATTACAGGAAGTAATGCATAAACACATTTTGTTCACTATTGCTAAATTAAAGACAAGTGTTTCAATTAAAGTATGATTCTCAAATCAAACCATATTTTTTCCATCACACCACGTAAAGCTCCACATGAGCAGTGAACAGCCCTTAGATATAATAACAATAGGCACTTCTCGGAAGACGGTTATTCACGAAGCTGTTGACGAAAATTCCGAAGCAACGCTGCGTTTTCCATTTCTGTTTAAAATAATAACGTTAGTCTGAAATCTGTAAAACATTTAAAACGCTACATTGGAAGAAATGTGTGTTTAATTTGCATTTTGGGGAGCTTTTAATCTAAAATGGCAGTGCATTTAATGCTGTTCATTTCTTGTCTCTTTTTCTGTCCATACAGTCCCATGTTATGATGTTGGTTTAATTTAGATTTCATAGTCCAGCAAATTGTCATCCCACAAAAGATGTGTTAAATAATGCTGTCTAGGTAGACCGCTCACTAGGTTTTCTTTAGTCCCTTGAAAAAGTAAAGTACGAGATTACTCTTATTTTTTCAGTAATTTATGTATGTTTTTAATGTAACCTTCTCTCTTTAAATACTGTGGTCAGTTCAAGAATAATTTATGCAATTTTATATTATTTATTTCAAAGAATTAAAAGAGCAGTTTCATGTCTATCTTTGTATTGTTTACAAGTTGAGGTTGATATGGGATTTAGAAAGTTATTTGTAGTAAGTAATGCATTACATTTTAGAGAGAGTAAGCCTAATTAGTACAGTAATCTAATTACACGGTTGAAGATGCAATTAGTAGCTTGTGAATTTTATTGTAATTATGACTTTTTTGGGTAACTTACCCAACACTGTGATTATAATGACATATTGTGTTAAAAAAAATCCTCACGTTGTTTTAAACCTTGCCTGAATTTCTTCCGTGGAACTCAAAAGGAGACGTTTTGAAGAATATTTTTTATACAGAATGAAAGCATGTAGTGATTATGATTGTCATGCTCTGAAATCAATTAAAATAAGTTTTTTGATTTTAAAATGTTTCTGACAATAAGTTTGGAATATAGTGGACAATTCATTCTTTTTTGTGGGACTTTTATAGTGCACGACTGCACGTTTAAACGTAAAATATGGTCCTCTAAATAATAAAAAACGTCAAAAAAAAAAATAAGTGTATATATAATATTTTGACTTGTCTCTTGTATTCCTAAAAAAAGCAAAAAAACAGTTAGAGTTAGGCACTTACAATGCAAGTGAATGGGCCCATTTTTGGATGATTTAAAAGCACAAATGTGGAGCTTATAATGTTATTAATTCACTTACAATATTTTGTCTGTTAAAACTCATTTATTATTTGAGCTGTAAAGCTTTTAAAATAATAATTTTAGGATTTACCGCTGTAAAGGCCAATTCACGCCGTACAGAAAACATGTTCAATCAGTGTTTGTTGGGGCAGTGTGAACATGACACTTATTTTTCAGAAAATTTTTAATCCAACGGCAGACTTGTGTGTTGGTGTCTGTTGCCATTTGTCTGTGCAGTGTGAATTGGCCTTTAAATTGTAAATTCCTGTCTAAAAAAATTAGCATATTTCATCCGACCAATAAAAGAAGTGTTTTTAATACAAAAAAAAAAAAAAGTCAACCTTCAAATAATTATGTTCAGTTATGCACTCAGTAGTCAATACTTGGTCGTGAATCCTTTTGCAGAAATGACTGCTTCAGTGCGGCGTGGCATGGAGGCAATCAGC